GAGGCTAGTTGTAGTCTATAGAAAGGATGGGCACATCGGTTCAGGGCTTTTGGCAGTTGGTACAGAGTACTTCGCTGCTGCGCTACGCGTGAACCGGAAGTGGTGACGGCTCAGCGTGGAAGGAGACAGGCATAGCCAGACCTTCAGAGCGCCGACCATAGCTGGGACCTGCGCTGTACTCTGCCAGCACGCAGGGGCTGACAGAGGTCTGGGTTATCGAGGTCTGCTGGAGGCGAGAGAGATTGGTGCCCTGCTGGACCCTCCTCTGGAGTGGGGTTCCAGGGTGGTGGTGCTGCAGCCATAGCTGCAGCTTCTTCTTCAGAGGTCATCTTGTCAGGGTTTGGTGGCGCTGCTGCAGACTTCCACCCGGGAAGTCTTCAGACACTTCGTCATCATCAAATACTGTGGTGCTGGTCTTCTTTTTCATCCTCTGAGTGGCGCTTGGCCTCAGAGGCCTGTTTCAGGGTGGCGCTTCCCTGTGGAGGCTATATTTGGGTGGCGCTTGATGATTCAGGGGCTCGGGGTGTTACGGGTGTTAATCAGGGTTGGGGAGTGAAGCGCTGCTCATTTCTGAGCAGCGCACTGTAGTTCTGAAGCTATCCTGGCAATTTGAGACTCTGAGTTTAATTAATAGTGTATAATCGGGTTTGGACTATCATCGTTTCATTGTTTCCTGGATGTGATCTGCTCTACTTTTCTCTATGACTGGTTGTGAGGATTGAGTGGAGTGAATTGCACTTTCAGTGTACCCTGTCATATCGCATGGTCAAGTCTTCCGCTGTGTTCATCTCTCCCTGTGCGGTGTGATACTCCTATCCTCTCCCCTTCCTTCTGTGTATGTATGGGCATGCCTGGAAGTCTATGTGAGTGAGTGTTGGTCTTCAGACAACAAACAACCAGAATCATAACAGAATGGCTACCTCCCTCAAGATCGCCTACTTGGGGGAGGCCCTTAAGCCACCAAGTGTCTCCCTTAGGTCAGATTCCAGGTGCGAGTGCCTCTCACTGTCGCCTCTCCCAACTTGTCGCATGAAAGTCCTCTTGGTGTGTCTCGCCACCACATACTTACTCTCAAACAACCTGGTCAGGTTCAATGCCAACCCAGCATGACCTAACCAGGTGGGGGCAGCTTCCCTAAGCCACGCTGTCCCACTTCCCACTTCGGACCAACCCTAACCCTAAGTGGTTAGCCCTTACCACTTAGGTTAGGGTTAGGGTGGATAAGTCAACTCTCATAAGCAAGAAGAATCTGCTCTGATACCAATTTTATGATCCTGGCCAATTTCGAAGAACACATTCATCAGATAGTACAATGCCGTCCAATCGCAGAAAGAAATGAATGAACTTGAGAGGAGAGAGAGGGTACGAAGAAGAAGAAAAAGAAAGAAAGAAGAAGAAGATGATGTACACCAGCATAGACAAATGACAAAGCGCTTCTTCTTGGCCAAACACTCTCCTCCTCTTTTACTACTACTCTCTTATTCATGCAAGAAATAATATTACAATGTTGAATGGCTGATCCAGAATCAACGTCTGAGTTCCACTTCTACTGCAGGTATCACGTGAGGTCCACCATAGCCATGACCGCCTCCCTCACTCTTGACTCTCATAGGCCGAGGCTATGGCGGACTACTGGGCCTTGCCCTGATGCCCAAAGGACAACCCAAAGCAGCTATGGCTGCTCTAGCTCAAGCGGCCATGCCTGCCTCTGCCTCAAACCTTCTTGGTGTAGCGGCCGACCGGTCGGCGGTCTGCCGACCAGTCTGAAAACAACCATCCACTGATTTTTTTTCGAATTTGAGTTTGGGGCTGTACTGCACTTGCTGAGTACAGCCCAAATCCGCTGAGAAACTTTTGGGGATGGGGTGGGGGTATGGGGGGGTTGGAGGGGGAGTATATGGGGGGTATAGGGGCGGTATAGGGGG